GCTGGGTCTTAATTGTGGCACGTGGGATCTTCCTTGCGGCATTCAGGATCTTTTAGTTGCAGCATACGGACTTTTAGTTGTGGCCTGTGGGCTTCTTAGTTGTGGCATGCATGTGGGATCTTAGTTCCCCGACCAGGGATTGAACCTGGGTCCCCTGCATTGGGAGCGTGGAGTCTTACCCCCTGGACCACCAGGGAAGTCCCTCCCCCAAGAGTTTTTTTAATGAAGGAAAAAAACCCCATAAAACTTAGGCAATGATTAGATATACTAGTGAGTGGGAAAGGACCCTGAGACAGAGAGAGAGTTAGATAAAACATGACACTGAAGTTTCAGACCTTGGTAAGAGAGACAATAATGAACCATTGCTAGAAGTAGAGAAGTAAGAATGGGAATTGTGAGAATGAGTGCAAGGCCAGTTCAGTATTGTTGAACTGAACTTGGTGGCGGCTGCAAATGTTCAGCAGGTAGTCAGGCAATCTCAAGCTGGAGAAGACTTGGGGCTGAAGTACTAGATTTCAGAGTCATTTGCCTGGAGGTGCCCATTGAAGCGAAAGGAGTAATTGAGATATTGAGGGAGAAGACAGAAAGAAGACTCTGGCCACATACCTAGGACCACTGCCTCTTTAAAACTATAGAAAGGGTAGGAGGCAGAAGAAGGGCAGTCAGAAACAGGGGAAGAGAGTGTACCATCTCTCAAACCAAGGACAGGGAAAGGGGTTTCTATTTGGCCAGGTGCCATGGTGGTTAGGAGAAATCAAAGAAGATGGATCTTAGCAGAAGTCAAATCAAATTATTGATGTATTTCAAAGAATTATTTTCGAGGACTCAAAGCCAGAGGCTTATAGAGAGTCGTCAGGAAACATGATCCTTACCCTCAGAGATGTCCCAACCACCAGAAAGGTAGACAAGATAACTCCACTAAGTAATTATCTGAGAGCATGCACTTGTTGACAACTGCATACTTATATATATATGATTCATATTAGTTTTAGGGTGGGTAACCCATCAACATTTTATATAGATAATACATATGGTTCTAGGATTTGCAAAGCTCTAAGTGAAAGTCAAATTTGAGACAAGATATATTCCTTTTTGGTCTTTTTGCAAAGGCTCAGTAGAATTTTCTTTGTCACATTTTTTTCTGACCTGTACGCAATTTTGCTATGGATCTTGTTTTTTTAATTGCGGGTCACTTAGTGTAAGGGACCTTTTTTTTTTTCGCTCATCTTTGCTGCTTATCAAGTGTTAATCCAGCTATGACTGCATTGTCATAGAGTACTAATGGCTCTATGAAACAATCAGCCTTGTGCAAATGACCATCAAGTGGCCGAGAACTATGGCCTCCTTGGGCCAAGTGTCACTTAGTGATGCCAAGTCAAAATAATGCTTCAAGCTGCCTTTGCAGTTGGAAACGTCGCTCATGTGTTTCATTATATCAGAATCATAGTCAATAGATTTTATTTACTCTAATATTTGACAGTGTTCTGGTCAATGGCTTCTAAAGATTAAATATACCCAAATACATCTTAAAAAAAAAACCTGAAAATGTCACTGAAAATATGAAAGAAGCATGAATATTAAAGTGTTGACAATTCTACCTTTTTCTGTGAAGCCAGAAAAGTGTTTATTATTATCTACTCCATCCCCTTGCAGTGGTGAGGACTCTAGACTGGCTCACTTATGCTTGAGGGGCTGTGTGTGTGTGTGTGTTTGTGTGCATGTGTGTGTGCATGCTAATATGACACTGTGCAGAATGAATTGGACATAGACTCTGGAGGATAAGACACCAGGTAGGCAGCAAGTATAGTGGTTCAGAAATGAAGATGTAAAGGTTTATACCAAATGAGAATAAAATGAGAAGATTATAGATAAAACATTGTGATGAAAATTAGAGAGTTCTGGCATACTGCTTTCTAAATTACACTACTTTGAGCCTGAGAAGGATTGGTCTGTAAAATAGGAATAATTATAGTGCCTACCATATAAAATTGCTGTTAAGAATAAATAAGAAAATGAATGTAAAGCAAGCACCCAGTGTTTAATGGGTACTCAATAAATGATGGTGGTTGGGTTCCTCACACACGCTCTCTCCTCCAAAGCATTTGTTGGGGAGGAATGTACTTCTCTCCTTTGGAAGGAATTTTGAGGGGATAGAAGTTGATAAACCTGATGGCATCTTTCTAGAAAGGGTGGGAAAATATAGGAGAAGGAGTGGTCTCTACCATCCTCCAGAGACTGAGTTACCACAGTGATCTGTGAGTCGCCCAGTAGCTATGAGGGTAGATGGAGCAGTGTATGTTCTTCCAGTCTGAGATATTTCCTGCTTGAGTTCAGTTTCCAGCTCTAGGCTTCATTCCCTGTCCCAGTGTCCTGCCTTCCCTGTTTCTTTTGAACCCAGCTGGGATTCCTTCTCTCTGCTCAAATGTCAGATATGAAGAGTTACATTACTTAGGGACTTCTCTGCAACCCAGCACCAACTCCCCAGTCTGGGTGAGGATGAAATCATCTCAGGTAAGACTCAAGTAGCATCTTAGGATGATGCCTAATGCTGGCATTAGCGTTATTGCAAATATATCAAATTAAAGCATGAAGAGAGATATTTGCTTTGACCACGTAAAAGTAATGCTGGTTTCAGGCGCTTGCATTTTCTTATCATTTAGGTCTAGTTACTTTGTAATATCATGAGTATGGCTATCATTAACTGACTCTGAGAGTCAAAGGAACATGAACTGTGATCATTTGTTCATGTGTGTTTATTATGCTTTAATTATAGTAACCTCGTAATATAATAAAAATAGGTAGTGATATTGTATGTCACTCAAAATAGCTAATATTGGGCTTTGCCATATTATGGAGGTAACAGAATCCTTCCCTGAAAGTTTCTTTTTTATATATATAAATTTATTTATTTATTATTTTTTAATTTTTGGCTGCGCTGGGTCTTTTTTGCTGTGCACGAACTTTCTCTAGTTGGGGTGAGTGAGGGCTACTCTTCGTTGCGGTGCGCTGGCACCGCACTGCAGTGGCTTCTCTTGTTGCAGAGCATGGGCTCTAGGCGTGCAGGCTTCAGTAGTTGCAGCACATGGGCTCAGTAGTTGCGGTGCACGGGCTCTAGGGCACACGGGCTTCAGTAGTTGTGGCGCATGGGTTCAGTAGTTGTGGCTAGCGGGCTCTAGAGCACAGGCTCAGTAGTTGTGGCGCACGGGCTTAGCTGCTCTGTGGCATGTGGGATCTTCCTGGACCAGGGATCAAACCCATGTGCCCTGCATTGGCAGGCGGATTCTTAACCACTGTGCCACCAGGGAAGTCCCTAATCCTTTTTATATATTGTTGGATTTGATTTGCTAATATTTAGATGAATTTTTTTGCATCTGTGTTTACCAGAGATATTGGCCTGTAATTTTCTTTTTTTTGTAGTGTCTTTGTCTGGTTTTGGTATCAGGGTAATGGTAGCCTCATAGAATGAATCTGAGCATTTTCCGTCCTCTTCAATTTTTTTGGTGTAGTTTGAAAAAGATAGATATTAGCTCTTATTTATGTGTTTGGTAGAATTTCCCTGTGGTGCTGTATGGTCCTGGACTTTTGTTTGCTGGGAGGTTTTTGATTACTAACTCAGTTTCACTACTAGTGATTGTTCTGTTCAGATTGCCTGTTTCTTCCTGATTCAGTCTTGGAAGATTGTATGTTTCTAGAAATTTATCCATTTCTTCTAGGTTGTCTAGCTTGTTGGTATATAACTGATGGTAGTATTCTCTTATGATTTTTTTTTTAATCTCTGTGATGTTAGTTATAATTTCACCTCTTTCTTATTTTGGTCCTCTCTCTTTTGAGACTACATATTTTTAATGTTTCTCTGAGGTGGTGTTTCTTGCCCTTTTCTATGTGTGTTATTGACTCATTCAGTTAAGGATCTGATGAATACTAACCACGTTTTCCCCAGAAAAATGCACACAATTGTAAATTTTACACATAGTTCAGGGTGTTCCCAGAACCTCAGGTTCCCTTAAAATCTAGGTTAAGAACTTCAGTTCTGGAAGATTTGTTTTTGTTGTTGTTTGTTTGTTTTTGCTTTTTGTTTTTTTCGTATGCTTGTGGACACTATTCTTTTGTACAACTGAATAATAATGACAAATGATTATTCAGTGCTCATTATGATCCAGGCACTGTTACAATGATAAACAACTAAGATGGCTTAAAGCTTGGGGGGGGGGGGGTGGGGAGGAGGCATTTTCCTTCAACTTCCTAGCTGTTTCTTGTGGCCCAGCAAAATAAAGTGAAGGTGTGGTAGTTAGGACTGTAAAGTGTGCAGCATGCAGGCATGCAAAGAATATTTGAAACTCAGAGTGCCTGTTATTTTTCAGAGACAAAAACAATATAAAGGTGCAAAGGGAAAAACTAGTTGAATTTGTTTGGAATTGTTTTATAGCATTGAAACACTTCAAACTTGCTTTCTTTGGTGGTGATGCAACTGAGTTCCTAAAAGGAACTTGACAATTCATGGAAAATACCTCAGGAAGGGTGATATGAACTCTTGAGTCATCAATCTACTCCTGAATCAGCAACCTAAGGCTATGAGAAGAATGAAGTTTATAGTGTAATAAACACAACTGACAACTAGTTCTTAAACTCTTTACTCAGCACTGTATTTGAAACCCAGTTTCAACTTTCCTTGGCCATTTGACCTGAAATGCACCATTTACTACTCCCTGTTGTTGGAGTGAAACCCCTTCTTAGAGAAGCCATGCATTTGCAATATCATCTCAGGCTCCTATTCACAAATACTGCACAGAAGTTTATCTAAATAAATCTCTGCCATTTCTTTCTCATATTTAGATGAGATTTTTCTTTTCTTCTACAAATATTTATGAAGGACTCATCAGGTAGTAGATGCCATTCACGACAATCATTTTAAAGAACAGAAGATCCTTTGATGGCTATCTAATGCCTCCAAATTATGTATACCTATTAAGTCCTCATTTTTTCATGCCCCTGTTTTCCAGATGAGTTGAAAACTGGCAGTTCAAAAGGACACTGAAGCTTTAGACACAAGCATGGCTGGGAAGAGAAACAAGGCTGAGAGAACACAGAGGTATTGCTAATGTTACTTATAAAACTTTGGAATTTAAAGAAAAAGGATCTAAGTGATGATCTTTCCTTTAACGGGGTGGTAAAGAAATGAAAAATAAAAATAAAATGTTTGATAATAATAGTTTTAATAAAATAACCACTAACAAAGTTGGCAGAGGTTTTAAATACATTTTTATTTAAAATAACTCAATGGCAGCTCAGGAGGACAGTATATTCACAGCACACATTCCCAGGATTGATAAGGTTCCCTCAGCCCGTTTCCTGCAGCTGGAGAGCTCAAGCAGATGACGACAACATGAGTGTTAATCATTTCCCGACCAGGCAATCTTAGTCACAAGTTCAGTAGAAGTGAAATCAGCCCCTTGGGTTTAAAAGCAGCTAAAAAACTTTTCTCAATTCACTTTGCAGTTTCTCCCTTTGAGGTTAAGCACATGGAAATTCGTTTGGCAATTCTTTTTATATCACCATTTCCATTAGTTGCTCCCACAAATTGGGGTTTATCTGATTGTGTGGTAGATGGGAACCTCAGGATAAAATTCAATGGCTGAAGGCTGAGTGAAGTTTACCCTGGCTGTGGTTATGAAGAAGGTAAGTGATTGGACCTCTTTGGGTTTATTTTCTCTTATGCTAGATTTTATACACCATAAAATGCAAAAGGCATAATCTTGCATTTATAGTTAACCATTTAGATGTGTTTGGAGGTTGTTTTTAAGTGATCACAGGCCAAAACCAAGAATTTAAAACATACATGCCAAACAAAATGGTTTCATTTTCCTCCTAAAAAAATCATTTCTATTAATTATACAGTTTATTTAGTTAATTGAACTGTTATTGAAATGTCTTTCTGCATTAATGGAATGTTGGACTGTTCCGTAAATAGACTGGAAACAATTTTTTGTGAACAAAAAGACATAAATAATTTTGATTATTGGAAATAGCCAAGGTGGAACTGGATGGAACATCTGGTGGCAGACTTCAAAGGTCAAATAATTCTAATAGAAATATATTAGCTGTCTGTTTTTGTTTAGCAAGATGATTTTTTTCTTGTTTCTTGAAATCTATTTGAAGTAGTCATAACAATTTTATAAATTAAACCTATAATGATATTTCAATTATTGTCTTTCTGGAAAAGGAAAATGATATTTGGGTATAATAGAAGTGCTTTCATTAGAAGACTCTGTTCTTGCCCATTTCAATTGTGGTGACCTTTTATTTCAAGAAAAATACAGAATTTCTCTTTTTTGAGGCCTAGAATAGTCCTGGGTACATAGAAGACTTTGTGGAATGAGCTATTGATTATTTATTTTTAAGTCTGCACTTACATTAATGGATTTTAGAAGATATCTTCTAGTCACTTGTGTAAAACTTTATTCAGTACTCAATATGTCAGTGATGAATTAAAAAGGAAGTAGAAAATGGTCTTTATCTGAAAGGAATTTAATTCACCTCTTTCCCAGTATGAACCAAACCTTTCCATTTTGGAGAACTGTAATTAATACTTTTCTTCTGAGTGTTTGAAAAATTATGGAAAATGCCACCTGTTTTTTACAACAACATTGCTCATCATTGTGAAAACCTGGAAAGAACTAAATGTTAATGAACAGAACAGCAGTTAAAGACAATGGCATACTACATAACCTGTAAAAAAGAATGAGGTGAATCTATATTTATTAACATGAAGGCAGTCCAAATAATATTTCTAAGTTATTTTTTTTAAAAAGCAAGTTTCAAAAAAAATAGTGAGGTAGTAGGTATAGTGTACAGTATTCTCATTTTTTGGTAAAAACAAATAAACCAGTATCTACATTTACAATGTCTGTGTGTGTATTTACCGAATCATTTAGAGTCGCCGTTTTTGGGGATTGAATGAGAAAGTCTATTTTCTACCTTGAAGATATTAGAATGTAACTGGTAGGAACTTTTTAAATTTAATTCTAAAACCTCAGTGTATATAATAGTGTCTGGCACGTAACAGGCACATGACAGTGTCGAATAAATGAATGAAGAGATTTACGTAATATTTAAATTTTTAAAAAATTAGCACAGTTGATTTTCAAGCAGATAAAATCCACAAAATGACTTATTGTTTTAATTAAAAAAATATTTAGAACAACTTTCAAAGCCTCTACTCTCTCTTCCCTTCATGTTACCTCTTCTTATTTTCTACTTTTTGTAACAGTTTCCTTCCCTTTTCTAGCTAATTTGGGTTCAAAGGGAAATGAAAATGTCATGGTTCCTGTGCTTATTTAAGATTTTCTGCCGAGGCATCTTACTTTGCATTTGACATCCATCTTCCGGAATCCGTGCATCTAACATCCCAGATTGCTGCTTAGCTTTTTATGTGCATGCCATCTTTCCAATTTGATGGCAAACCCTGGAGAATACAGACCCTGTCTTATGATCCTTTCTGTCCTCAATACCTAGCACAGGGCCTCACACACAGTAGGATGGCATTGTTGTTGAGTATTCTTTCCACAAAATTTTGTGCAGTTCGTAATGATGGCATTCTACTATAATCCCTCCTCCTAGGCTGAGCATCATATACAGTAGGCACTCAGTACATGTATTGAACGAATGGTTGGTGATTGACTCTGGCACGTAATCTCTGTGTGTATGGCTGGTAAATTGGGTTCTGAGGGAGATGAGAGGAGGCTGTATCAGTTTGGGATTCTTTTGGTTGCCAGTGATAGAATACCTGACTAAAATTGGCAGAAGCGGAAGCGGAAGCAAAGGTGATTTATTGGCTCATATAGCAGTTTGATGGTGCACCTGGCTTGAGAAATAGCTAGACACTGTGGCACAAAGTGATATCTCTCTCTTTGTCTGTCTTGTCTCTCTTTCTCTTCTTCTGTTCTCAGACAGGCTTTCTCTTTGAGGTTATAAAATAGCTGCCAGAATCTCCAAGAACCATATTCTTTCAGATTCCAATCCAGCAGAAAAAAAGTGAGTGTCTTTCAGCAATCCTAGAAAACTAAACCGTGACAGTTGCTCAGAGTGGACCAACAGTAACTGAAACCAGGATGTTAGTGTACTGGTTTCATGAGCTTCTAGGGGCCAGGAATAAAGCCTCAAGCAGGCCAAGCGAACTGAGAGTGGGGAGAGGAGGATCCCCAGATAAAAATCAAGGTTGTTGCCACAAGAAAGGGGAATGGATGCCTGATAATTAAACAACAAATGTCAAATGCAAGGTAAGAGAATTACTTGATTCTCTTTTTTCCTCTTTCCTTAACATAAATATATCCAAATATGAGTAAGTAATCGCTGGGAGAACTCAATCAATTCTAACTCTATAAGGGTGTGCGTACAGGTACTAACTGTTAAAGAGAAGGCAGTTGGAAAGATGGAAGAAGAGAGCTTCTGAATTGATTGAACCCAGAGTCCTATCTGGAGCAGTGACTCTCAAATTTGCTCTATACTGAAATTATCTGTGGGTAATTCTGATGCTCAGGCCACTCTTTATAACACTTGTATCAGAATACCTAGTGTTGGGACTCAACCATCGGTACTTTTAGGCTCCCAGGTGTATTGTGTTATATGCAATTTGGAGACCCAGTGGTCAAGAGAGATATCAGGGAGGATTTAGAATAGTTTTAAAGGCACCTGAAACTGTAGATCCTCCATAAATATCTGATGACTTGATTTAAAAGAGGAAAAGAACATAACTGGGCAAAGATATGGGGGGGGGCATATTTGTGAACTGTCTACTCTATGTAAGCATTGTGTTCAGTTCTCAATATACATTTCGCACTTGATCTTCATAATCAGGATTAAAAAATAAAAACAAACTCCATTTACCGTGAGGAAATAAAGGTTCAATAATGCTAAAGTAACTTGGCAAAAGGTCAATCAATAAATAAAGCAGGTCTTTTGAGCTCCAAATTATATACTCTTTCACAGTACCACACTTACAGGTGTCAGACATGAGTTTAAGGGGGAACTCAGCTGTTGGGTGTAGCAAGTAAATTTACCTGACTAAAGAACAGAGTATGGACTAAGCACGAAGGCAGCCCTGAAAAATTGACAGAAGTGGCATCCTCTACAGCAGCAGTCCCCAGCCTTTTTGACACCAGGGACCGGATTCATGGAAGACAATTCTTCCACAGGTGGGGGATGGTTCAGGCGGCAATGCGAGCGACGGGGAGCGACAGGGAGCGGCAGATGAAGCTTCACTTGCTTGCTCGCCAGCTGCTCACCTCCTGCTATGCGGCCCCGCTCCTAACAGGCCGTGGTCCCGTACCAGTGCACAGCTCCGGGGTTGGGGACCCCTGATCTACAGCACAGGGTGGCAGACAAGGGCCTGCGTGCCAAATCCAGACCACCACCTGTTTTTATAAATAATATTTTATTGGAACCAGCCACATTCATTTGTTTACATATTGCCTGTGGCTGCTTTTGCACAACCATAGCAGAGCTGAGTAGTTGTGACAGACACTATATGGCTTATAAAGCCTAAAATGTTTACTAGCTAGCACTTTACAGAAAAAGTTTGCCGACCTTTGACCTAGAGTTTACGTTTTTATGTGATAAGCAGTTCTGAGAAGGGATGAGATTGCCATTATCAATCCAAGACTGATGATAATGCTTGTGGCCATATGAGTAAGATTCTCCAAGCATCTTCACATTCATTCATTCAGTAAACATTTATTGAGCATCTACAAAGTGCGGGACACTCTGAGCTCAGTTGAAATGCAGTGCAATACATTCTACGGTGAAAAATAGGATTCCAAAATATGATAGCTTCTCTCTCTGCTTCTAGGCTACATGAGGGCAGGGTTTGGTTCTGTTTTTGCTCATTACTGTGGGTTCAGCCTAGAAGGCAGTAGGGGGTCACTAAAAATTTGATGAATAAAATAATGATCAATTAATGTGGTAGAGGCAAGCATAGGATGCCGGGGAAACACACCTAACCCAAACTCTGATGGAATGAGGTCAAGTTATGAAGTGGAAGAAGTGGAAGAAGTGAAGGAAAAAAGGCAGCAAGTCGGGGAGGGAGGGGAGCAATGAAGGGGTTGTAGTAGTTCACTGGACCGATCTTGGACAAGGTCTGTCTTTGTGGGACTGGACAGAAAGAGAGCTATGATCCTGAGCAGTATTTGGTGAAAGATTTCATGTGATAATATAACACAGAAAAATCTATTCAGTTCCCAAATCAAAAAACCTCCAGAAGCTTCCTGCTACCTACAGTATAAAATCAAGATTACTAGGTTAGACCTTCAAGTCCTCTGTAATTTGTTCTCTGCTGGCTTAATCTTTTTTTTTCTTTTTTATAAATTTATTTATTTATTTTTGGCTATGTTAGGTCTTCGGTGCTGTGTGCAGGCTTTCTCTAGTTGCGGTGAGCTGGGGCTACTCTTTGTTGTGGTGCGTGGGCTTCTCATTGTCGTGGCTTCTCGTTGCAGAGCACAGGCTCTAGGCGTGCAGGCTTCAGTAGTTGTGTCACGTGGGCTCAGTAGTTGTGGCTTGCAGGCTCAGTAGTTGTGGTGCACGGGCTTAGTTGCTCCACGGCATGTGGGATCTTCCCGGGCCAGGGCTCGAACCCGTGTCCCTTGCATTGGCAGGCAGATTCTTAACCACTGAGCCATCAGGGA